CGACTGCCACACAATAATTTTATACTGGCTTAATCCGTTTTTCCCTATCAAAACTGTGTTATTGTCAGGCTGGGGGTGTGTAATCTTCTGGTGGAATAAGCTGGGGTGTCTAATCTTCAGGTGGAATAAGCTGGGGTGTCTAATCTTCAAGTGGAATAAGCTGGGGCGTCTAATCTTCAGGTGGAATAATCTGGGGTGTCTAATCTTCAGGTGGAATAATCTGGGGTGTCTAATCTTCAAGTGGAATAAGCTGGGGTGTCTAATCTTCAGGTGGAATAATCTGGGGTGTCTAATCATCAGGTGGAATAAGCTGGGGTGTCTAATCTTCAAGTGGAATAAGCTGGGGTGTCTAATCTTCAGTCTAATCTTCAAGTGGAATAAACTGGGTGTCTAATCTTCAAGTGGAATAAGCTGGGTGTGTAATCTTCAGGTGGAATAAGCTGGGGTGTCTAATCTTCAGGTGGAATAAGCTGGGGTGTGTAATCTTCAGGTGGAATAAGCTGGGGTGTCTAATCTTCAAGTGGAATAAGCTGGGGTGTCTAATCTTCAAGTGGAATAAACTGGGGTGTCTAATCTTCAAGTGGAATAAGCTGGGGTGTGTAATCTTCAGGTGGAATAAGCTGGGGTGTGTAATCTTCAGGTGAAATAAGCTGGGGTGTCTAATCTTCAGGTGAAATAAGCTGGGGTGTCTAATCTTTAGGTGCTCTCTCTCTCTCTCTCTCTCTCTCTCTCTCTCTCTCTCTCTCTCTCTCTCTCTCGCCAAAGTGAAACAGTAGCATTATGACAGGTGTGTCTGTCAGCGCAGGTGGAAAATTACCTGCCTCGTCGTACTCCGTTGCTCTTAGTGGCCCCATGACTGAGCCAGCCACCGCCCTCTCTATATACCTATCTACCTATCTTTCTACCTACCCACCCATCCATTCATCCATTCATCCATCCATCCATCCATCCATCTTCAATCTGTGCACAATCTTTCCTCTCTCTCTCTCTCTCTCTCTCATCTCACTCAGAGGCATACTCCCAATTCTCTACCTCAATTGATCAAATGTACCTGTGTTGGTTACCCCGCTTAAGACTGGTTATGAGAGAGAGAGAGAGAGAGAGAGAGAGAGAGTTTGGTTTGTACGAATCTGGTGAAAGTACAACGCCTCGTTTTCTCTCGTTGGTTTCTGATGGGGGAGAGTACTCATTATCTTTCCGTGGTCGTGATTAATTTCTCTCTCTCTCTCTCTCTCTCTCTCTCTCTCTCTCTCTCTCTCTCTCTCTCTCTCTCTCTCTCTCTCTCTCTCTCTCTCTCAGTGTTATTATTTGTCGCATACGTCTTTATTACGTCCCGAGGTAGTTATTATTATTATCATTATTATTATTATTATTATTATTATTATTATTATTATTATTATTGAGGATGACACCTTGCTTAATAAACTAATCAGACTATGATTTCTTCAACAGGTGATGGTCTCAGCCATCTTAATGCTACACCTGCTCAGAGTGGAATCTAAAGCAGCTTTTGGTGACCGTATCATCAGCCACCTCACCGACACTCAGCCCAGGAGTAGAGGCCCGACTGACTCGCTCCTGGAGAAGAGCCAAGGATTCCCAGACGCACAAACGGGACCCAATGGAAGTTCCTCTCAGGTAGATGATTCCGTCAATGACTCCCGTATCAAGTTATCTGCTGACGGCAGTGTGTCTCCCGCCTCGGTAGACGATGCCGTAAGTGGTGGCCAAGCCGGTCTTGACGCTATAGGTCCTATGTTATCACTTACTAAACCAGTGCAGGCAGGAAACAGACCGAGGCCTCTGTACACACGATATCAAAAGAGGCAACAGAAAACTAAGCCAATTGGTCATGCTCCAGGGGAGACTAGGCGAAACCTGCCGCCTCTGTATAACAGAAACAGACCCATAACTGAAAATTCGTGGGAAAACTCTTCCGTGGAGCATCAACATCCGGGCTCAAGGCCCAGCCATTCTTCAGATTATGATGAAAACGAAGACACAAGTAATGAGAGAGAGATTGTTTCTGTTGCAAGTGATGGAGATGATGATGATGGTGATGACTTCAGCGACGGAGTGATGAAAGCTCAGAGTGTTGCAGGGTTCAACTCAGAGAAGAGCCGCGTCACAGACTCTATCACCCAGAATTATGAATCAGGACATCTGTCTGAGGGTCAACCTGGAGAAATTCATCAGTGCTCTGGGTCCCTGACGGCAGCAGACTGTGAGCTAAACACAGATGGAAGTCTGACGCACCACACACTCAACAACCAGGTCAAAAAGCTATCAAACAGAGAACAGGCTGAAGGGGACCAGTCTCTAACTGTATACCAAGACTCTGTGATGAGTAGTGGACAAACAGACTTCGAGATCAACGACAACAGCGATACTTCTTATTCCGCACAACAGAAAGACAGTGAAAAAGGCTCTCTTACTTCCACCACGTCTGGAGAAGTTGAAGCTACCAGATGGGGCTCAGAAAATGTAATACAGAGAATGCAAACTCTTGTTCGTGCCAGTACAACTCCTCCCGTGACGTCAGTATCAACCGTGCATGATCTCAACAAAGCAGAAATCGGAAATTATCCCGCCACATACACCGGCATGAGAGGGAAACGCAATTACGAAAATATAATTCAGTCATTACTTTCTCACGGGACTGATAACTTACTTACTAATTACATGATGATAAGTGGGGAGCTGATTAATGATGATACGCAGAAAAAAGAATCAGACAGCCATGAACCATCCACTTTACTCTCTTCATTAACTAGTGAAAGCTCAGCGTTTGATATTACAAGTAAAATACGAGATTCCTTCACCAAGGCTCTACGGCGAAGGTTCAAAGAAAATGGTCACCAAAAACGTACTAGAGAAAACGCAAATGGTAGGACTCAAGGGGTGACTCTACTAGATGTGCCACAGCTTCAAGAATATTTTAACGTTGCACAAGATATAGCAAAGACTTCAACGATGGAAAAGAGTAATACAGGTGAGTAATAAATTTATGAGCATAATTATATAATATATTTAAGAATTATGTAGCAATTTATTTAGTCACGTAAGTGTATTGAACAATCTGGATACAAATTAGTATAGTTTCATGAATTTGTGTCCCAGTTGAACATCGATATCTCAACCACAATGAAAATATTAATTAAGTTTCTACTGTTTTCGCTCCCATTAGATTTGGTGTTGCAAAATGTGAAATGATTATATGTATTGCTTGAGCTATACGATTAAATGAATTAATAATCTTGGTGCAGAAAATTATAAAAAAAAGAGCGTGAGATGATTAGCAACTTTCACCTCAAACAACACCCCAGTACTGTACAGATTTGCTTTCTTTGACTAAGGTTTTTTTTCTGTCTCAACTAATTGTTTTAATCCTTTCTTTACGGGGACTCCACTTTTAGCTAACACCAGACGGCTTTGTGCAATGGCTCTAATTCATAATAAAAGTCTCTTCCATGTCTAGGTTCAATTTAACAGTCAGCGTTTTCTATCACTAATTACTCCAGTCACGACCATAGTTTCTTACAAGTTACTTTTATTTACAGATCGACAGGACGTAGCGAGCTCCTCACCCGGGCAGTACCACCACCACCCCCTCCCTCATTTCTCCACCAAGTCTCACTTACCCAGACATGAAGACCATCAACAGCGAGAGGACGTGGGTGTACCAGAGTGGGAGTTGAACCCGGTGTTAAGAGATTCTATTCTGGATTATGGAAGTAAACGTTTTAGAGGGCAAAATCTGAACTTGTTTCCTGTAGACAACACAGAAGACTCGCTTGGTCGTGTTGAGGCTCCTACACACGAGGACAAACGTGGAAAGGGTAAACTCTCAAGTGAGGAAGACGAGTCATTCTTCGATTCCTTATTCAGCTTCTTCAACGTTAAGGGAGTCAGTGGTGAGGCTTTTGAGAACTCTGGCCATGACAAGCACAGTGTTCGAGGCTCGTCTGGCGAACACGGGAGTAACTTGAAGGACGAACAGAGAAACACTGAGGTCACAACAAGCTATCCAAGTCCAAAATATAATTCACAGACTAAACCAGACCATAAGTACAGTCCTACCTCCCAGTACCACAACACACCATTACAGTCTGTTTCTCCTTCACCTCACTTTCAGTCTGATTCAACATTTTATAATATACCTCCTTCAGTCTACGGTGAATCCCTTCCTGATCCTCTACACATAACCTCTCAGGGGTCATTTTTCCCAGACCTGACTCCCCACCAAGAGGATCATTTGCCAAGTGTGTCGTTGTCACAGCCTCAGACTTACATCCCAAATCGACCACCTCCATCTGCTGACATTCCTCCATCACCATCAACAATTTCCTTTCAATCGTTCACTGAATCTGACTCAAGATATTCCCTAAGTCATGATAAAGAATATAGCGCAGCAGCCAACACCCGCGACACTCTATGGGAGTTTGATATTAACTCCGATGAAAGAACGAATAATGATGATGGCAGTTTCAGGGGAGCTCTTGAGACAGTGAACAAGGAAGTGCCGCTCTATCTCGATTATCAACGAAACCCCAGCGATATACTGACACATAAAGACAGACCAAATAAATTGCTTCTTGAGTCAGTGGCTTACCCTCAGTCTTCAGCAACACGTACACCACTGAGGACTGTCTCCTCACTGTCTCCTCCAACACCCACATCTCAGCCTTCACTTCAACTAACTCTGTCATCTATATTCCCTCCACCTCTTCCTCCATTCTCTGGTGAGAGTAGACTCCAAGAATCTCGACCAAGAGGTTTCATTCGTGCTTCAGTAGCGGATAACACGCCCGCAGCACCTCCCCACGCCCCGGCTCTCGTTATACCCCTTCCTGTCACTTCAGAAGGAAAGGTACAATTCCCGGAACACATCAACTTACCCAGCGGGAGAAGGAAAGCTCCCCGAAATCCAGAAAATGGTGAGACGTATGTGAAGGTTCAAGACAGTAGACAGAGCAGAGGATCCCGCAGTTGGAATAACAACAGAAGACCTCAGTGGAAACACGTGGGCGGGATTCTCTCTGGCTACCAAGGAATCGGAAAGCCCCTGAGAGGTGAGGGGATCAGGCGGCCACATTCTAAATTAAGAAATGGACACACTGTTATCCCAAGCATCTGGCCACTGAATGACCCGTTCTTCTTTCGCCCTCAAGGACCACCGGGTCACTTGATAAACTCATGGTCGATACGACCGAATCAGCCATCCATGAAACACCTACACACTCACCTGAAACCTCCATCGGCTGTAGTTAACTATGACGGAGGTTACAAGCAACAAGACGCACCACACCTGCACGACACTGCTGACTCACCTGAGGCTGTTGACGCTGACGCAAAAGGAAATAAAAATCATCGACAGTTGCCTGAGAGTAGCGGGGCGTTCATAGTTAATCACTCACGAAACAATTCCTCATCACACAGCTTTGAGTACTTTAATATTTTACCAAGTAGACGACCTGACCAGACCCAGCACGACGGTAGACCTTCCTTCCTTTCTTCTACTCCTACCATTTCTCCTCCCTCAACCTCTCGTCCACCACCCCGCTATGATTCCTTCGGTATCCTCCTCTCCCGTCAACCAATCCCCCATCACCGACCACACCAACACCCACAACATATCACAAACCCAAGAAAATCTCATCCATTTCTGTCAACGAGTGAAAGTTCCCTCACTCATCCTTCACTCAACACTCTGGCCAAATCCTCATCCCAACTTCGAGGTAGCGATACACTTGGTGGTCGCGTCCAGTCGAGTAATAGGATAGAGAGTGACTTCATTCCCCTGTACGAGGTGTCACAGCCCCTACCCACAGCTCCTACCTCAAGGGAGTCTCGGATGTCAGAGAGCCATGCTAAGATGATGAAAAATATGCGCTATGGTGTAAATGGTGTCCCTCTTGACGTGTGGATCCCCATCGAGTGATAAAATGGACCTAACCTAACCTGAAACAGAGAGAAATGAGTTGATAAGGTTGGATGATAAATGTAGGAAGTGAGAGTAAAGTCACGAAACAATGTATACACACACACACACACACGCACACACACACACACACACACGGAGCTTCACTATGTAAATAAAACACCTGCTTCCATACGTGTCTTTTTTTTCTCCCAGTTTCTTGATGTTACCGAGTTTGTTGTTAAATTAGGTTAGGTTAGAGTACCTAAAGTTACGGTGAAATACGCTGAGGGTTTAATCATTTAGGTATTCAACGTTAGATAATCCACAGGTGATAACAGGTGTTCAACGTTAGATAATCCACAGGTGATAACAGGTGTTCAACGTTAGATAATCCACAGGTGGTAACAGGTATTCAACGTTAGATAATCCACAGGTGATAACAGGTGTTCAACGTTAGATAATCAGCAGGTGTTCAAAGTTAGATAATCCACAGGTGTTAACAGGTTTTCACAGGTAGATAATCCACAGGTGTTAACAGGTAGATAGTCCACAGGTGTTCACAGATAGATAGTCCATAGCTGTTGTTAATTAAATACGTAAAATTATATAACTACCAGGAAGATAATTTACGTGTATCAATAGTAAACAAAAATAATCTGTTATCGAGAACTGTTATGACGTGAAGCTTTTGTTGAACTTTTGATCAATAAACATAAGGTCTAGTTCATTTGTTCGTCTGTTTGTTCGTCTCTTTTATGAAATTAGGATAGAGAAATGATGAGATTTGTATTATTGTTATTGTTATTATTGTTAGTATTATTGTTATTATTATTATTATTATTATTATTATTATTATTATTATTATTATTATTATCATTATTGTTATTATTTATTATTACTATTAAACTTTTATGAGACGTGAAATAAAGGAATAGACTTTAGATAATTTATCACATGTAAATTCCTGAGTTATAACACCTGAAAACTGAAGTGAGAACGATGAAGTGGCATGTGTAGGCTGCCCCCCGCCCCCACCCCCCTCCACCACCAACCACATCTACCACAACCACCACCACATAGGTTGCTGACACCTGGGTGAATATAAAGGGTTGCCGAAAGGTTATGCATCATTTGTACAGGTGTTTGAACTGGCAGCGACAGTTGAGTTCCTGACACCTGTTATGATTCATGAACTTTGTTTTCGTTGTTGGAGCGGCGAGACAGGTGTGTGTGTGTGTGTGTGTGTGTGTGTGTCACCTACAATACACAATGGGATTCTCAACATTGGAGGATACAGAGGTTGAGACTGACACCTGTTGTCACCTGTCTGTTACACTTATGACTTCCGCACTATTCCTCCATGACACCTGTATACCACACACGTACACACACACACACACACACACACACACACACACACACACACAGCGTTTAAGTATAGATTCTAAGTCTTAAAATTATAATAATGTAAAACAAGAGATTAGGTTAGGTTAGGTTGAGTTAGGTTAGGTTAGGTTGAGTTAGGTTAGGTTAGGTTGAGTTAGGTTAGGTTAGGTTAGGTTAGGTTAGGTTAGGTTGAGTTAGGTTAGGTTAGGTTGAGTTAGGTTAGGTTAGGTTGAGTTAAGTTAGGTACATAAATGGACAAGGACGTAGGTGACAAGGGCTGTTGGGTCACGTACAAACAATACTGTGACGGACACCAAGGACAGAAGATGCACAGATTTTTTGGGGGGGAATAAGAGAAACGAAATAAGAATTAATAGCATCATAATACTGTATCAACCGATGACGCCCTGGGACGACTTGTGGTACTACGACTACTAGATAACGACTACGATGTGGTATAAACGACTGTAAGGACGATACCTGGAACGTAAACAGTAAAGGTAGTTGGTGTTAATTAATGGTATATACAGTAAGGCTACCTGGTCTTACCTGAAACGTAAGGTTAACTCAAACACTCCATAACAACAGGTCCTTCAACCATAAGAGAAACCCAAAGTATTTGACCGGATGACGAAGATGTGTACCCACGGCTAAATTCCTCGAAATTAATCCTGAAACCGTTTGCGGAGTCTCGGTGACACAAAGTAAACACCAACAACACTATCAATATGGCTGGACCTCCCCTGAGAGTCACCTGATAAAGAGAATGTCAATTGGATCATACAAAAAAGAGAATCCTTTGTTTAGAATCAGTCACTGCCTCCTATAGGGAAGTGCAGTATATTTAATTTCCAAAGCCCTGTCACCTCTCTTCTTGAACCACGAACCTTATAAGATTCAGATTCGTGAACCCTAACCCTATGTGGACTGTGCTACTTATAAGCCACACCTCCAAATGGGATGAAGTCACCAATGTTTTTGCTTTTTCATCCCAGGAAGAACAAAGCAACTTGTGGATCACCCCCCGTCCCGGTGTCGTCTTTTTCAGGTATTCTAGTTGTGAAAAATAAAATTGTCGCCACGTTAACACCTTTGGTACACCTGTTGAAAGGCGGGAATCGAGGACGAGGTGAATGTACGGGAGGTGTACGTGGGTGTTTGGGGGGGGGGAGGGCAGAGGAAGGGATGGGGAGGATGAGTTGGATGTGGAGTGAGGAAGAAGGGGAGGAAGGGGGGTTGCAGAAGCTATAATATTGTTCTCGTGTTAGTTGTTGAAGCCACAGTCGACCCGGGATCACCACGACGAGCACACACACACACATACTGTATACACACACTCGTTCGCCAGCAGGAGGAAAAGAGAGAGACCCACACTACAGAGAGAGTTCCCTACAGCAGGAGTGGCAGCAGCAAGCAGTCAGTCAGTCAGTCAGTAGCAGCAGCAGCAATCAGTGAACAAGCATCAACATGAAGACTAACATTCTACTGATGTGCCTGGCCCTTTCAGCTGTCCAGGTCGCCACAGCTGAAGGAGACGAACCCGAGGTATGTGTCGAAGTCTTTGAACCTGTGAGTTTTTAATTCCCAGAGATAAACAGTGACTCTTCTGATTCCTGTTACGTTATTATCTCCTCCACCTTCTTCTCCTCTCCTTCTACACTTCTATTTCTACTATGTATTTTCAACTTCTAATTCCTCTCATCTATACCTCTTCTATTCTTAATCTTCTATTTGAAAAACCCAGAGTCTACTTATTCTACCTTCGTTTGTAGTTCCAATGCTGGTCATTAGTGGTGTATGAACGACACACACACACTCAATTGTCTGTCTCTCGTCAATTGATTGTATTTATTTGTGAACTGTATGTAGATCAGTGTTTGTAATATCCTCTGGTGGGATGGGACCAAGCGCAAGATGCTTCTACGCCAGACTCGCGGAGTTGATCTCCGAACAGAAGCAGCAGCCCAGAAGTTATGTTACAGCCTGGATGAGATGTCGACTGTCCTTCTCTCTCCTTCGGTCGGCTTTGCTCTGCCTCAGGGGAACGAGAGCTTCTGCCCCTACTCCGACAACTGCCGCAGATATTGACTATGAGGCTACAGTCACTGAATGCCGCATAGATCTGAGGCTCAACTAATTTAACACAGATAGGATAGCTACTTATGTATTAGGATATTTAATATTAAGGTAATTAAATGATGGCGAAGGTGTGGCTATTGGGGGAGGCTGGAGGCCACGCTAAAAAAAAAAAAAGTAGTAGTAGTAGTAGTAGTAGTATCACATTAACTTAAACTGTCTTACCCACACACAGAAGGCGGGAGAGGAGGCAGTCGTCATCCCTGAGGAGGCAGTCGTCATCCCTGAGGAGGCAGTCGTCATCCCTGAGGAGACTACACTTGCTGCTGTAGACGACAGAGACGAGGAAACACGAACCCTACTTTGCAGGAAAACTCTGGGTGCGACCTGTGCCGTCAGCGGTGGGATATGTGTCATGAAAGGAGGATGCGGCAGGAAAGGCAGGGTCCTCTCTTTGGGGAATTGCCAATCTTGTACTTGTTGTCCAAGTGGTAAGAGGAAGGAGCTATCATAGACCTGTTGATATTAGTATTGTGTTTACCCGGTAGAAGGATGCTCCGCTAAGTTGGTATCACTATTATTTTTTTTTTATCTTTTAGAAATGATCTTTAATATAAACCACAAAACAATTAATACTGATTGTTGATTATTATTATTATTACTAGTATTATCAAAATATATTCTTATCATTATAATAACCACTAGCAGAACTACTATTAACATTGTTAGTAATATTAACATCTTCTTATAGTCATGACCTCTTTGTTTCCTCTCTCTCTGTCACCCGCCAGTTCAGAGTAGCTGCCCCTGGACTGATGCCTGCCAATGGAAAGGTGGCAAGTGCATGAAGCATTGTCCTTGGGGGATGAAGTCCATACCGGGAATCTGCTCTTATTCGTCTTGTAGCTGTTGTGTGCCTGACAACCAGTGCGTGACGACCAACGAATGTTTTGCACTGAAGGGGAAGTGTGTGCAGAGTGGGTCGTGCGTAGGCGGGGAAATCAAGTCAGCGTCGTGTTCAGGAGGATCATCATGTGTCTGCTGTGCTCCGAAGACTCAAAGTGAGTGACTTTATCTTGAGTTCTGATTGGCTGATGTATCTATATATCTATCCTTTCCCGATGGTAGTATGGTTATGTTGATTCACTCATGGTAACAAATCACACTCACTCATGGTAGGTAACAAATCACACTCACTCATGGTAGGTAACAAATCACAGTCACTCATGGTAGGTAACAAATCACAGTCACTCATGGTAGGTAACAAATCACAGTCACTCATGGTAGGTAGCAAATCACAGTCACTCATGGTAGGTAACAAATCACAGTCACTCATGGTAGGTAACAAATCACAGTCACTCATGGTAGGTAACAAATCACAGTCACTCATGGTAGGTAACCATTCACAGTCACTCATGGTCACTCTTCCTCCCTTCCAGCACCAACCTGTACCACCACCACCCAAAAATGTCTTAAGCAGGGAGGCAGCTGCAAGACCCAGTGTTCCTCTAACCAAGACGTGTACCCCGATGCTTGCAGTGAGGGCGGCTGCAAGTGCTGTATTCCTAAAGGTGACGACATTATAACCTTCGTATTTGTTTAGCTAAATGGACTTGTAAACTACGCTTAAAGTATTTAATCTTGAGATTTAAACCTCTGAGCTTATTTCACACTCAAATTAAACTCTCCAAGCTTATTTCACACACAAATTAAACTCTCCAAGCTTATTTCACACACAAATTAAACTCTCCAAGCTTATTTCACACACAAATTAAACTCTCCAAGCTTATTTCACACTCATTAAAACTCCCCCCAAGTGAAATGAACTCAAGGGGCTAAACTTCACGTGATAAGATTTATTTTTTAGCTTCCTCTTATGACCGGTGTTGTCAGCAGGTTGTTGGATAAAGGAGAAATGCACAAAGCGTGGAGGTTCATGCAAGGCAAGCTGTGGCCCAGGAGAAGAATACGTCGGGAATGGCTGCACTGGTCTAAACTGTGCGTGCTGTAAGCCTGCCAGGAAAGGTAAGTCCGTTTTTTCTACCTGAGGGTCAATTTTTTTTTTTTTACCTGTGGGTCTATTTTTTTTTTAGCTGTGGGTCAATTTTTTTTACCTGTGGGTCATTTTTTCTACCTGTGATATATTGAGAAGTGATAATTTACCGTATGTTAATAATCTCCCTCACACACACACACACACACACACACACACACACACACACACACACATCAACTTACCACCACCCTACTCCCTTCCCCCCCACCTAATACTTTGACCTCTTTGCTGCAGAACGTTGTACACCCTCCAGGGAGTGTAATGATAAGTACGGGAAGTGTAAGGAGTGGTGTGAGGGTAAAGAAAAGGAATTGGTCTATGGATGTACAGGGGGACACCATTGCAAATGCTGTTACGTTCCCTACTAAACAGAACAACAGGTGAGTAATAGGTGTGGGGTTTCTTCTCCCTCCCTATTTCTTACTGTTTTCCTACTTTCTTAATCCCTTCTTCTTACTTCCAACTGCTTTCTCCCTACGGCCTGCTACCTACTGCTTACTCCCTTCTGCTCTATTCCCATATCCTACTCATTATTCGTTCCTTTACTCCTTCCTTTCCTACTCCCCTCTCCATACCTCCTCCCTATTCCTTCCTTTACTCCCTCCTTTCCCCTTCTTCTCTACTCTCCACTACTTCCTCCTCCCTACTCCAGTCCCTATTTTTCTTCTGTCACTGAGATGTTAAACAGGATGATACCCTGTCTCTCTGTCTCCCTGTCTCTCTGTCTCTCTGTCTCTCTGTCTAATTATCTATCTGTTTGTTTACTCTTGTGTCTATCAGAGAGAGAGAGAGAGAGAGAGAGAGAGAGAGAGAGAGTAATTACCTTTCTATGGTCCTCCTCCAGGTTGCCAAGGTGGGGTCGTCCTCGAAAAGAAGTCTAGGAAGAATCAAGAAGAAAGAAGGAAAGAAGGAAGGGAGGAAAGAAGAACGAAGGGTGAAAGGAGGGAAAGAAGAAGGAAGGAAGGAACGAAGGAAGGAAGGAAGAAAGAAAGGAAGGAAGGAAGGAAGTAAGGAAGGGTGGAATGACGTGAGCAGGTTGTCATGGTGTTCACATTTATACAAAAACACGAGAATCAGAGGAATAATAATAATAATAATAATAATAATAATAATAATAATAATAATAATAATAATAATAATAATAATACAATAATAATAATAATAATAATAATAATAATAATAATAATAATAATAATAATAATAATAAGATAACTTTTCACACGAGGAAGAAGTGTGTGTGTGAGAGAGAGAGAGAGAGAGTTGGATAAATATATCAAGATTTCTCTACGTGTCACTGATCTGAAACCATAATACTAGATTCAGGATTATCAAGAACGATATTCGTACATTAGATTATTATAGAAGTAAGAATTCTAAGTTCTCAATTCTCAGATGTACGATGAACGTCCCTTTCTCAACCAAGATATCTAAATTTCTTTTGCTCTGATTCGAATAATTGATATATATTTTTACTTCTTTAATTTCTGTTGATGTGATTTCAAAGTCTGTATGGCTTTTTTGTATTGCTTTAGGTCAAGTTAGATGTTTTATTTGTTTTAATTGGACTAAATAGGTTTACATTTTGGTGGGTGAGTATTGTCTGCTATCTGAGTGACTTGATGTGGTTTTAGGCACCTAGAAAATGGATGTTTATATTGTTGTTCTGTCACTCGAAAACATTTTTATGACGCCAAAGAAAATGTTTCAAATTTGGTATTTATATCCAGTGTCATCTATTGCCAAGAAATACAATTAGAACGTTGTTAACTCTGTCATGTTTGCTAATCTATCCTAGGCACGTAATGCGCTCGTCATGGAAACGTCAGGTAGCAGAAATAAGTTAGGATCCACCATAATGTTTTATCTATTTTGTGTTTGAAGCGTTTCTACTACACAGCATAGTAAAATATGTACTACGAGAATAAGGGAAAAATTACACTGCAATTTTCTTGTTACGCAATAAAGTGTTTTATTATGGAAGTTAAGAGTTTAAATGTTATCCTTCTTTTCACTGTAAGAGCCAATCACAGCTGAGCTTACAAGACTCGGGAAGATGTTTTGTAAGACGTTGTTTGATTGGGTAATGGGTATCGAGTTGCGTTTATAATAAGAAACAAAAGAAATGTAAAATGCAAGGTTACATACACCTTAGGGTCAAGACCTATTCAGGCGCTGCTCCCGCTACACACCTGCCCCCCTTGGCCAATGTTGGCCCATTCCCCAAGTCCCTCTCCCCGACCCATCCTCACCATAATCAAAAGTGACAAATTCGTTTCGGAAAGAAGTGGGAGCAGTGTTGACCAGTGATGAACAGTGTTTAAGCCAGTGAATTCAGCACCAGACAGTACCAGTGAGAGCCGTGAACCACCACTGAGATAAGCAGCCCTGGCAACTAACCACCATCTTCTGGCAAGGAGGAGCTAATCCGTCCACCCTGGGAACAACAGAGCGCCGGCCGGCTATGCACCTGACTACAGGATAACACAACATCACATCCCAGTAAGGTACTGTGACACCACCCCAAACCACACATAAGAACATAAGAATGGATGAAACTGCAGCGGGCCTATTGGCCCATACTGGGCAGTGCCGTTTACACCCAACCCCCATTGCTCATATAAGCATCCAACCTATGTTTGAAGCTATCCAGCGTATTCGAGTTAATGATATTTGGCAACTTGTTCCATTCATCCACTACTCTGTTTCCACGTCTTATTTTAGTGTCATCAGCAAATTTACTTATGTTGCTGTCTATGCCGATATCTATGTCGTTTATGTATATAATAAATAATAATGGTCCAAGTGCTGAGCCTTGGGGAACTCCACTAGTGACGTTGCTCCAATGGGACTTAGTGCCGTTAATGCTCACTCGCTGTTTCCTGTCCTGTAACTACGCCCTAATCCATTTAAGGATATTACTTTTGATGCCATGTGCTTCTACCTTTCTAATTAGTCTTTCGTGGGGGACTCTGTCGAAGGCTTTGCTAAAGTCGAGATATACCACATCATAATTGTGCCCCTCGTCCACCGTTTCGAAAACTGATGAAAAGAATGTTAATAGATTAGTTTGACATGAACGCCTGCTTGTGAAGCCATGCTGGGAATCATTGATCAATTGGTGCTTCTCCAGGTGATTTCGAATAGAGTTTGAAATGATTGCTTCCAGTAATTTGCCTACTATTGATGTTGGACTGATTGGGCGGTAGTTAGAGGATAGTGAACTATCCCCCTTCTTGAAAATCGGTATTACATTCGCTATCCTCCAGGATTTTTGTACTACACCTGTTTTTAAGGACATGTTAAACAACTTTGCTAAGGGCATACTAAGCTCTTCCTTACATTCCTTTAATACTCTGGCAAATATCTCATCGGGACCAGGTGACTTATTAGGCTTTAGTTTGTCTGTTTGCTTACTAACATCGTTACTAGTCACTACTATCTCGCTTAATTTGTTTTCTTCACTATCTCTGAATAGAGTCCGTGCCTCGGGTATCATGTTTAAATTTTCCGTGGTGAAAACTGTTGAAAAATATTTATTCAGATTATTGCTCATTTCTCCGTCTTTATCAGTTAGCTCGCTGGTATCTGACTGTATTGGTCCATTATTTTCTCGTGTTCTAGTTTGATACATTTGGTAGAATCCTTTGGGGTTTGTCTTCACCTCCCTTGCTATCTTTACCTCATTATTCCTCTTAGCTTTCCCTATCTCGGTCTTAACTCTACTCGCCAATACATAATAATCCCGGAGGTAAATTTCGCCACAATTTATCCTTCTACCTATAGCCTTCCTTTGGCCAATAATGTTCTTTAAATAATTATTTATCCATTTAGGGTCATTGTTGTCTGATCTGAGTTTTTTGTATGGTATTTTCTGCCTTTGTGCATTAAGTAACTCATTATTTAAATTGTCGTGGAACTCGGCTATCTTAGATCTCGTTATCAGGTTGGTGTCATCTGTTAGGTTCACACCCAAACGCGACACCCCCTCCCTCAACTGCCTCTTCAAACTATCAAAGTTTGCCCTTCTGAAATCTGGGACTTTTGTGGAATTTTCCTTACGTCTGCCCTGAAAATCTAACTGGAATCTAATTTCTTTGTGATCGATGTTTGCAAGTTCGTTCCCTCCCTCGACCCTGCTAATGATGTTTTCTCTGTTCGACAGAACTAAATCGAGTATATTATTACCCCGGGTGGGTTCGGTTATATGTTGACTTAGGAAACAGTCCTGGATCGTTTCGAGAAAATCCTCTGATTCTGAGTTACCGTAAGGTCAGTCCAATCTATTTGGCCAAGGTTAAAGTCGCCTACTATACGGACTTTGTTGTGTCCCATGACTACGTGAGGTCCTTCATGTCAACACCCGAGGACGAGTTACTACACCACGTGAACACCTCACCACCTGGTGTCTCAATGACTAGCCCAGGCCCGGGCCATCAACTGTAAACTATAAGAGTTTATATGTTCAATCATTGTTCCTTCTTCATTCAGTAGTGAAAGGTTTTGTTCAACGACCCACCCACCCCATGTATTTGTATGTAATAAGTCATTTTTGTCTAATGTATATTTTCAGCCTTCGGGCTGCCGACCTTTTCAATTGCCGTTAATTATTATCATCAATATTATTATTATTATTATTATTATTATTATTACATACATACATACATACATACATACATACATACATACATACATACATACATACATACATATACATACATGCATAATGGTCGCCCCTCGTGTACGAGGATGGCCGGCCCAAGGGCCACCTAGGCGTGAATTTGTTTAAGGTGTAGAAGCTGTCGCCAACACAACAACCAAACCCCAAGTTAACGAGCTGCATGACCCAGTGTCAAGGAATAGTCCGAGAAGACCGGATAACTCGCCAACTGCACTGGCTAACCATTACCCCGGAACACGATCCGAAAATCAATTAACACACACACACACACACACACGCACACACACATGATTTTTAAGTGACGTCACGGTGAGGTGTGCCACGTAATCAAAACAGTGTTTATAGTTGAACACACACACACACGCACACAGCGGTCTCTCCCTGATTTTAAAGAGCGTTACAGCCACAGTCTGATCACCTGATGATTAAACACCCTGACGCTACCTGGGAGAGTTAAGAGAGGTGAGATGAGGTGAAGTAAGGTGAGGATAGGAGGCTAATCGTCAGGTGATCCCTATAATAATTTATATCCCAGTTCCGAGTGAGATAAGGTATAAGGTAGACGTCACGAGGAACACCTGTTGTTAATTAGTCATGTTACCTTCAACCACACACACACGCAACGTCTACATATGAGCTACATACAGTATATCACTCTGTACACCTACTAATGATCGCTGACAGATAACTTTTTCCGCCATAGTGTAGTGTTGGATGTGTACACGGTGTTGTGAATGTTGGATGTGTACACGGTGTTGTGAATGTTGGATGTGTACACGGTGTTATGAATGTTGGATGTGTACATGGTTTTATCATCTAACGCTACTGGGGGCTTAGGTTAGGTTGAATTATTATCAGATTAGCTTAGAGTATAAGTTAGATTAGGTTATGTTAATATAAGAACATAAGAATGGAAGAAACTGCAGCGGGCCAATTGGCCCATACTGGGCAGTCCCGTTTACACCCAACCCCTATTGCTCATATAAGCATCCAACCTATGTTTGAAGCTATCCAGTGTATTCGAGTTAATGATGATATTTGGTAACTTGTTCCATTCATCCACTACTCTGTTTCCAAACCAGTGTTTACCTATTTCGCGCCTAAATCTAAATTTGTCTAATTTAAAACCATTGTTACGAGTTCGCTCCTGGTTGGATAGTTTGAATACCTTGGTAATGTCCCCTTTGTTTAGCCCTGACTTCCTTTTATACACCTCTATCAGGTCGCCCCTCGCTCTACGTCTCTCGAGGCAGTGCAAATTAAGATGCTTTAACCTGTCTCTGTACTCAAGGTTCCTAATGCCCGGGATTAGTCATGTCAATCTCCTCTGGATTCTTTCCAAGGATTCTATATCCATTCTGTAATACGGTGACCAGAACTG